TCCTCTGCCTAAAACAGGTCCTCTGCCTAAAACAGGTCCTCTGCCTAAAACAGGTCCTCTGCCTAAAACAGGTCCTCTGCCTAAAACAGGTCCTCTGCCTAAAACAGGTCCTGGCAAGTGTGATTCTTGCAGTATGTGCCCTATGTGAACCCTGGGGTTAAAGGGTTCTTTAGTTTTAGATAACAATCAACACAGGGCACTTTTATACCACTGATATATTGTTCTGTGTGTGTTAGTCTTGACAAGGCAACTGTTGTTAGCTACCCTTGCCGACCAGGATATTCCTAACATTTGTCCTAGATACTACACATTTTAAACTTTCTTCATTAAATTTAAAATGGTTAAAGTCAACAGAATCGACTTTATGGCACCAGGTTTCATCCAGAATGGCTTAGTCTCTCTCTGCAGAATGGCAGTCGCCTGCCCACTTTAACTTTTTCGGACACATATAAAAATGTTAGTGTGTCCATAAACTAGTTTGTAATGGGATAGTCTATTGTTTGTCAAACACTTGGTACGAAATCATCATCATTATCATGTCCCCTGCCAGGCGATGTGGGCGCTTATGTCTTTTCATAGATCTCTGATGATATTTCTCCATGCCATCACTCAAGGCGGTCGAGCACCATTCTTCATGTTCTGCGTCTGCCTCTTCTACCGCTGATTGTTCCAGCCATCATGACGTTCACCAATGTATCTTCTCATTACATGTCTGAAAAACATTGACTGCATCCTTTTTATAGTTACATAGTTTTTCTAATTTCATTGTTTATAATAGGCTAACCAGTCACCAACAATGGTAGCTCCCTTCATAAATTCTGCTCATTAATCTTTTAACAATAAGGGTTTTAGGTTAATTACCTTCTAGCTATACTATTTACTCAATCAATAAGCCCTCATGTTTCGGAATTAGATCATTTGACCTGGTGAAAAAAGTTCCAATTTTTTTGTGTAATAACTCATTCATTACCAAGACAGCCATGATACCTTTTACTCTATAATTCGGCATTATTTTTTAGTTAAAAAAAAATAAAAATTCAAGAATCATCGAATCCAGGTGTTTTATTTTTGCTGGTTATACAACCAGCAAACAAATGAGATGCTCTTAAATTTGTCCTCAATAAAACCAAACGAAACAAATGAAAAAAAGGATAAGTATGAAATATTTTTTAATACAACAAGGTTCAAGAAAAAAATAACAACAAAATTACAACTTTAAAAATGCAATTATTGAGCAAAAATATGAATAAATAAATGAGGAGAAATAGATACTCACCAGATAGGAAACAAATGCTAGAAGAAATCAGAAAAGAATAAAGAATAACCTTACACACCCAAGTCAAATGAAAACAAAATAGGAAATCATCTGTTAACTAACTATTCAGAGAGAAACAAATCTTCAATACCACCTCAATGGCTAAATACTGAACAAACAAAAGCAACAGATGTTTTGTTCTGTGGACCAAAATGCCTGCTACGAGTAGTGATGTGCACCTACAGCGCAGCTAGGATTATTTCTCAGCTAAGAGACAGGGTAAATCACAGTGGAAGCAGATAAAAACATAAACTTGACCTGGTCGACCCAGCCTAAAATGGGTACCAGGTAATGTCCTTGGAGGTAAAGGCATCCAGCATGATGTTGACCATATCACTCATTTTGAGTGCCAGTATTGACACGTAGCTCTAGCATTGTTCGCCTGATGTGCCCAAGTTGTCAGACTGATCCTTTACTTGTCTTGTGTTCTGTTGAGGTTTACTCCAGACAGAGCATATTCCTAAACTTTGAAATGGTATGTACATTCTCATGTCTGACATCTAGTCCCTAATACAGAGAAACTGTATGTATATTCATTCTCATGTCTGACGTCTAGTCCCTAACACAGAGAAACTGTATGTATATTCTCATGTCTGACGTCTAGTCCCTAACACAGAGAAACTGTATGTATATTCTCATGTCTGACGTCTAGTCGCTAACACAGAGAAACTGTATGTATATTCTCATGTCTGACAATGTCTAGTCCCTAACAAAGAGAAATTGTATGTATATTCTCATGTCTGACAATGTCTAGTCCCTAACACAGAGAAACTGTATGTATATTCTCATGTCTGACATCTAGTCGCTGACAAAGAGAAACTGTATGTATATTCTTATGTCTGACATCTAGTCGCTAACAAAGAGAAACGTATATTCTCATGTCTGACATCTAGTCGCTAACACAGAGAAACTGTATGTATATTCTTATGTCTGACATCTAGTTGCTAACAAAGAGAAACTGTATGTATATTCTCATGTCTGACAACGTCTAGTCCCTAACAAAGAGAAACTATGTATATTCTCATGTCTGACGTCTAGTCCATTACACAGAGAAACTGTATGTATATTTTTATGTCAGATGACGTCTAGTCCCCAATAAAGACAAACTGTATGTAAATTCTCATGTCTGACATCTAGTCTTTAACACAGAGAAACTATGTTTATTTTCATGTCTGACAATGTCTAGTCCCCAACACAGAGAAACTGTATTTTTTTATGTCTGAGGATGTCTAGTCCACGACAAAGAGAAATGTATGTATATTCTCATGTCTGATGACATCTAGTCCCCAACAAAAAAGAAATGTGTGTATATTCTCATGTCTGATGACATCTAGTCCCCAACAAAAAAGAAATGTATGTATATTCTCATGTCTGATGACATCTAGTCCCCAAAAAAAGAGAAATGTATGTATATTCACATGTCTGATAACATCTAGTCCCCAACAAAAGAGAAATGTATGTATATTCTCATGTCTGATGACATCTAGTCCCCAACAAAAGAGAAATGTATGTATATTCTCATGTCTGATGACATCAAGTCCCCAACAAAAGAGAACAGACGCACTGGCCCCGAACAAGAATGCTGCAGAAGGTGACTAATCAGGGGTATGATGAAATTAAATGTGTTGAGCTGATATTGCTACCTGGCTGTAAACCACAACACATCTGTCAACCACCGTTTTAAGGGTTAATGCTGCAAATGGTGACCCTATGGCACACTGAGTTATGGGAACCAGGATGATGATCTCATCTTCAACATGTGCCAGATACCAACACTGAAGAGAGGTAGATCACACATTCACAGCTAAAGCACTTGTATTCTGCATCTTTTCTCCTTGTTTCAACACATCTCCTAGACGAGATATTCCAAATTGAAGGTCTGCACATTGAAGGGTTCTGTGATATTATTTACACACATCAAATTAGAACCTCTTCCCTCTTTTGTTTCACGATTCTACTACACAAGTTGTGCCATAAGCTTTCCCATAAACAATACAAATATCACCAACACCATTACAAGTATACATCCAGATGTACATATTCTTCAGCAGTGGAGCACATAAAACAAGATGTGTTTTCAATACAATGACAGTCTTGTAGAGACAGCCACCTAAAATATATTAAATTTAAAAACAAAAAAAGAAAAGGTCCTTTTTTCCCCCACGCCTTAAGGCGTTTAGGGCATATAGGGCTAGACCTATATTTTTATAGACCAGTCGGCACAAGATGGGTGATGTGGTCAGCATCACGCCGGCCACCTCTACTTCTCGGGACGGCACCCGGTGCCCGCTCTAGGCTGGGTCAACCTGGGAGCCTAGGTCATTTTTGAAAAAAAGTCCGGCTCTGCCAGGGAGCGAACCCATACCTTCCAATTGGCACACGAGCATCTAGCCGCTACACCACGCGACTCCCATTATACAAATATTATATAAATAAAAATGGTTTTCATAAAATAAGTGATTTTTCGGATGTTTCAAAACCTGAGGGGTACCCTGTATGTTTAGTCTTTTTTTTTTTTTTTTTCAAATGACTGTTAAAATGCTTTTGGCATACGTTTGAAAATAAGAGAGCTCCATGGGTTTTCAGGTGATATCTAACTAGGAACCACTGTGTTAGAGTAATGGCACAGGGGAGGGTGGTGGTGGTGGGGTGGTGGGGGGTGGTGGTGGTGGGGGGGGGGGATTATCTAATCTACAACTGGAAATGTCTATCAAAGGAATTCATCAGTGAGCTAATAATCTTGGTGCCTTTGCTCAACGTCTCAACCAAAACAGGTGGTAGAGAGTTGATGTGCATGCAATCAATGAATGAGCAGAGAGTGAGCAAAAAGCAGCATATACAACATGGTATCACAAACAACATATGTACGTTTATATTCTGAAACAACATTTTCATTTTAAAGTCTACAACTGCAAGATGTTTAAAACCTTCTTCACGGACACACTGTTAACATTGACAAGAAGTGGCCGGCCAAGAAGCTACAACATCAGGGTCTCATGCAGGAGATCCGGGTTTGACCCCTGGTAAGGTGATGGAGTTTGTCTGTCAGGGGAGAATTGTTCAAAAGTATCACACATGAGCTTTATAAGTAACACTCATGAGTTTTACAACTACCACACATGAGCTTTACAAGTACCACATGTGAGCTTTACAACTACCACACATGAGGTTTACAAGTAACACACATGAGGTTACAAGTAACACACATAATGTTTACAAGTAACACACATGAGGTTTACAAGTAATATGAGCATTACAAGTAACACACATGAGGTTTATCAAGAGGTTTACAAAAACACACATGAGCTTTACATCGACCACACAAAAAGTTTACAAGTAACACACATGAGTATTACAAGTAACACACATGAGGTTTACAAGTAACACACACAAGGTTTACAAGTAACACACATGAGGTTTACAAGTAACACACATGAGGTTTACAAGTAACACACATGAGCTTTACAAGTAGCACACATGAGCTTTACAAATACCTGACATTAGCTTGTCAAACACGATATGTCAGCTATACATATACAATTGACACAATAATAATATATTATGAGCATGCTTGAGAAAACTGAGCAAATAATGGGTTACGTCTGACCAATATACTATCATCATACGTTTGCCAATTTGAGACGTACAAGTAAAACAGTTGTATTTACAAAGATCGTGACTGCTATTATGAAGCTCCTTGGACTTGAGGCATACGTTTCATATGTGGGAAAACTGATTCTAGCTTAATGACATGAGAATCAATGTCTAGCTTGTCGTTTGAATCCCTGATGTTTCGATTTTTATCATCCAAATCTCTCACGCTGATATGGATTTTGTCATCCGAATCCCTCAGGCTGATATGTTTGTCATCCGAATCCCTCCTGTGATGGATTCTGTCATCCGAATCCCTCATGCTGAGAATGGGCTGGGCTGGATAGTGAAGGCTGGATAAATCCTGAGGTGTAGCCCGTTTATCGGCAGCAGACGTGAGTTTGGGAAAGGTCATGGCTTCAGATTTGGAAGATGGAGAGGATGCTAAGGCAAAAGGATGGCGTTGTTGTTGTTGCTGTTGTTGTTGTTGTTGCCCGTGTTGACTTTTCTGCTGCAGGAAGTGGTTTAGTGGAAAACAGGCAGGGAATTTGTTGTCTTTTATAAAGTTCAGCTCGCTGTTGCTGCCACAGTTGGTTTTGCTGTTGCTGTTAATGTTATCCTCAGCATTGTTGTTGTTGTTGTTGTTTGCATCATCATCAAACATGTTGCCGGGGGACACTGATCGGTCCCTAGGGTGGAACTGGGAGAACATGCTGGTGTTATCTTTGGGGCTGTGTGATGGTGAGCTGGTATCTTCTTGGATCAGGTTAGGATCATAGCTCATGTGATAGGCGTTGTCCTCCTCTTGGTCACCATCTATTAAAAAAAAATAATAAAAATATCAACTATAAAATAAATGAAGCATTGCGCTGTAGGAAAAGAAAACCTAATAGAATTCACTTCTTCTTCTTCAATCTTCTTCCCATTTCAAACACACATACATCTACCACGGCACAACCACACACGCACATACTGCTATAATCAAGCTACCACGGCACAACAACACACGCACATACTGCTATAATCAAGCTACCCTGGCACAGCCACACACATACTGCTATAATCAAGCTACCCTGGCACAACCAGACACATACTGCTATAATCAAGCTATCATGGCACAAGCAGACACATACTGCTATAATCAAGCTACCACGTCACAACAACACACACACATACTGCTATAATCAAGCTACCATGGCACAATCAGACACATACTGCTATAATCAAGCTACCCTGGCACAGCCACACACATACTGCTATAATCAAGCTACCATGGCACAATCAGACACATACTGCTATAATCAAGCTACCACGTCACAACAACACACACACATACTGCTATAATCAAGCTACCCTGGCACAGCCACACACATACTGCTATAATCAAGCTACCATGGCACAACCAGACACATACTGCTATAATCAAACTACCCTGGCACAACTACACACACACATACTGCTATAATCAAGCTACTACGGCACAACAACACACACTGCTATAATCAAGCTACTACCACACCTCCCCGCGTGGGTTTTGGAACTCCATTTTGCAGAACAAAGAACAAACCCAGTGTCCCCCCCCCCCCCCCCCCCCCCAGCATGTTGTAGGAGGCGACTAATCCGCTATGTTTCCTTCAAAGTCAAAGTGCATCTGCCTGAGGGGCAAGGAACCAACAGTCTGCTTACTAATAAGCCAGATATGTAAAACAGATGTGCACAAAAAAAAAAAAAAAAGTTCTGGAACAAAACCAAAATCCAGTAAACAACCAAAACTTTCTGCCTGGATCTACAGCTAGAGAACTCAAAGATTAGGAAGAGAAATGTGTCACTGTGTGGTGAGACTTTGTGCCTGGATCTACAGCTAGAGAACTCAAAGATTAGGAAGAGAAATGTGTCACTGTGTGGTGAGACTTTGTGTCTGGATCTACAGCTAGAGAACTCAAAGATTAGGAAGAGAAATGTGTCACTGAGTGGTGGGACTTTTGTGTCTGGATCTACAGCTAGAGAACTCAAAGATTAGGAAGATAAATGTGTCACTGTGTGGTGAGACTTTGTGCCTGGATCTACAGCTAGAGAACTCAAAGATTAGGAAGAGAAATGTGTCACTGAGTGGTGGGACTTTGTGTCTGGATCTACAGCTAGAGAACTGAAAGATTAGGAAGAGAAATGTGTCACTGTGTGGTGGGACTTTGTGCCTAGATCTACAGCTAGAGAACTCAAAGATTAGGAAGAGAAATGTGTCACTGAGTGGTGAGACTTTGTGCCTGGATCTACAGCTAGAGAACTCAAAGATTAGGAAGAGAAATGTGTCACTGAGTGGTGGGACTTTTGTGTCTGGATCTACAGCTAGAGAACTCAAAGATTAGGAAGATAAATGTGTCACTGAGTGGTGGGACTTTGTGCCTGGATCTTCAGCTAGAGAACTCAAAGATTAGGAAGAGAAATGTGTCACTGAGTGGTGGGACTTTGTGCCTGGATCTACAGTTGAGAACTCAAAGATTAGGAAGAGAAATGTGTCACTGAGTGGTGGGACTTTGTGTCTGGATCTACAGCTAGAGAACTCAAAGATTAGGAAGAGAAATGTGTCACTGTGTGGTGGGACTTTGTGCCTGGATCTACAGCTAGAGAACTCAAAGATTAGGAAGAGAAATGTGTCACTGTGTGGTGGGACTTTGTGCCTGGATCTACAGCTAGAGAACTCAAAGATTAGGAAGAGAAATGTGTCACTGTGTGGTGGGACTTTGTGTCTGGATCTACAGCTAGAGAACTCAAAGATTAGGAAGAGAAATGTGTCACTGTGTGGTGGGACTTTGTGCCTGGATCTACAGCTAGAGAACTCAAAGATTAGGAAGAGAAATGTGTCACTGTGTGGTGGGACTTTGTGCTTGGGTCTTCAGCTAGAGAACTCAAAGATTAGGAGAGAAATGTGTCACTGTGTGGTGGGACTTTGTGCCTGGATCTACAGCTAGAGAACTCAAAGATTAGGAAGAGAAATGTGTCACTGTGTGGTGGGACTTTGTGCTTGGGTCTACAGCTAGAGAACTCAAAGATTAGGAAGAGAAATGTGTCACTGTGTGGTGGGACTTTGTGCCTGGATATACAGCTAGAGAACTCAAAGATTAGGAAGAGAAATGTGTCACTGTGTGGTGGGACTTTGTGCCTAGATCTACAGCAAGAGAACTCAAAGATTAGGAAGAGAAATGTGTCACTGTGTGGTGGGACTTTGTGCCTGGATCTACAGCTAGAGAACTCAAAGATTAGGAAGAGAAATGTGTCACTGCGTGGTGGGACTTTGTGCCTGGATCTACAGCTAGAGAACTCAAAGATTAGGAAGAGAAATGTGTCACTGTGTGGTGGGACTTTGTGCCTGGATCTACAGCTAGAGAACTCAAAGATTAGGAAGAGAAATGTGTCACTGTGTGGTGGGACTTTGTGCCTGGATCTACAGCTAGAGAACTCAAAGATTAGGAAGAGAAATGTGTCACTGTGTGGTGGGACTTTGTGCCTGGATCTACAGCTAGAGAACTCAAAGATTAGGAAGAGAAATGTGTCACTGTGTGGTGGGACTTTGTGCCTGGATCTACAGCTAGAGAACTCAAAGATTAGGAAGAGAAATGTGTCACTGAGTGGTGGGACTTTGTGCCTGGATCTACAGCTAGAGAACTCAAAGATTAGGAAGAGAAATGTGTCACTGAGTGGTGGGACTTTGTGCCTGAATCTACAGCTAGTGAACTCAAAGATTAGGAAGAGAAATGTGTCACTGTGTGGTGGGACTTTGTGCTTGGGTCTACAGCTAGAGAACTCAAAGATTAGGAAGAGAAATGTGTCACTGTGTGGTGGGACTTTGTGTCTGGATTCGATACAATCAAATATTTACACACAAACCAACCTGCAGGGTAATTGTTGCTACTGTCCCCATACCACAACTGCCGTATGTCATGGCGGCGGTTCTTCATGAGAGCCTTGTATTCAGAGATTCGCAGTTTCTTCCCATCCACAATGCATGTGCGTTTTGGTCGAGGCCTAGAGGACAAGACACAAAAGATAATTGAGAAAACACAGAGTACACAGAGAATTAGATAAAGGGGCTTCCACATAGAAATAGATAATTTAGAATGTATAGAAATTAGAGACCATATACACATAAATGAAGCTGTATAGAAATAGATTTAAAAGTCCATACAGAAACAGGTAAATGACAGTCTGTACAGAAACACATAAATGAGTCTTTTTTATAAATAAATAAATGAGACTATGTATAGAAGCAGACAAATGAGAATGTACAGAAATAGAGAAATGAAAGTGTACAGAAACGTTTTTTTTTTTTTTCAAGTATCCAGAAACCATGAGTTGTTAACCCTTTGGCTCGATACTATGGATATCGCAACCCTTTGGCCTTGATTGCATGCTAGATACCGTTAATTTGGGAGAAATATGGCTTTTCTGTCTATCCCCGGGTGTGAACCTGGTCGCTGCGAAGTCCGATTTAACCAACTATGCTAGCGAGCCAGGCTTACAGAAATAGTTAAATGAGAGTGTACTGAAATAGATCAACGAGAGTGTACAAAAACAGATAAGAGAGAGTGTATAGAAAAGATCAATGAGAGTTTCCAGACAAATGAGAGTGTCCAAAAATAGATAAATGAGAGTGTATAGAAATAGATGAATGAGTGTCCAGAAATAGATAAATGAGTGTCCAGAAATAGATAAATGAGAGTGTACAAAAAACAGATAAATGAAAGTGTATGGAAATAGATAAATAAGTTTCTCCTTTCTTGTCATACCGTCTTTTCATACAATAATGTTATACTATGCTGGAAGGAAGGGCGGGGGGATAACATTGCACGGTGATGGGCTATGAAGGCCAGGGACAAAGCACACAACCTGAGCACTGATGTAGAGACCATGCAGCCGGAGTGCAGATGGATGCCAGATCGTATGGTTTAGAATACCTGTGTACATTTCCAAACTGCCTCGATTTGTGAGACTGAGACCCGGATCATGCCATATTATTTATGAGGAACCAACATCATAGCCCTCAGGTTTAGGTTTAGATGACGTATCAACATCATGGCACAACGGTAGTAACCCATAAGTGCTCCGTTCTACTTCTGACTCAAGCCTAAGTCCGAAGAATCTCAGCGCAGTGCACGAACTCTGTGGCCCCAACAAGGATCCTGAAATACTTTGGGTAGGTTTTTAAACTTCAAATTTTGCTCTGGCAGCACCGTTAGTCTAGTCTTTTTCGATTTCCAACTGCTAAAGTATTTTTTACATGCGCAAAAATACACACAGGGACATCCGATCTTACAACCCAGAGATCAGGGGAAACTACTAGAAGTCCACGTAAAAAAATCCCAGCCTATACCAGGGTCTGAACTCGCAAATATAAAACACACACACACACCTCTCCTTACACACATCCCCCCCCCCCCCAACAAAGATGGCACTGTCATGTAGGTAACTCTATCAACCTCTGTATACTTGGCTTCATGTGTCCAATGGGAATCATAACAACAATGAAGAAAGCAAGCATGAGTGTAATATATCAAAATAAACAACCTACAATGAGCTGGTTGTTAAAATATCTAGCAAGATTTAATTAGTATGCTCAGAGAAAGAACTAAAAGAAAATATAAAAACACAACATGTGTTGTTTGGTACACATGGAAAATAGCTCAATACACATGATATTCTGTGTGAAAGAGGAAACACTTAAAAACTAAAGCGCAAGCTGGGAACAGAAGGGGGGAGGCAGCTCTACCCAAAACTTCATCATTGCCTACGCTGGAAAATGGAAAACAAGGACAGACAGTGAAACATAAATGGATTCATGTTAAAGATCCTAATATGTTGTGGTTGTTAGGTCAGGCAAATCATTTCAGGTATTCTGAAACAAGGTCTGCAAAAACTATAATCTTTATTCAAAAAATATTCTTGAATATGTAATTTAAAATTAAAATATCATTTATAGTCTATGTATTTTATCCATCTTAATATTGGATGCAATTATTTGGTTATTCAAAAGCCTAGCTCCCAGCTGTTATCAGGGTGCCCTAACATAACCTAACAGTTGAACATTGTTATTGGGTCTTGTGCCCCAGTGATATACATATGAGTTGTGGGACTTTGTGTCTTGATTCATTCATTCATTGTGTCACTGAGTTGTGGGACTTTGTGTCTTGATTCATTCATTCATTGTGTCACTGAGTGCTGAGACTTTGTGTCTTGATTCATTCATTCATTGTGTCACTGAGTGCTGAGACTTTGTGTCTTGATTCATTCATTTATTGTGTCACTGAGTGCTGAGACTTTGTGTCTTGATTCATTCATTCATTCATTCATTGTGTCACTGAGTGGTGGGACACTGCGTCTTGATCCATTCATTCATTGTGTCACTGAGTGCTGGGACTTTTGTGTCTGGATTCATTCATTCATTGTGTCACTGAGTGCTGGTACGTTGTGTCTTGATTCATTCATTCATTGTGTCACAGAGTTCTGGGACTTTGTGTCTTGATCCATTCATTCATTGTTACTGAGTCGTGGGACTTTGTGTCTTGATCCATTCCTTCATTGTGTCACTGAGTGGTGGGACTTTGTGTCTGAATTCATTCATTCATTGTGTCACTGAGTGGTGGGACTTTGTGTCTTGATCCATTCATTCATTGTGTTACTGAGTGCTGGGACTTTGAGTCTGAATTCATTCATTCATTGTGTCACTGAGTGCTGGGACTTTGTGTCTTGATTCATTCATTCATTGTGTCACTGAGTGTTTATTGCAAGTTGTCTGAACCTGGTTGTATTGAATGTCACTCTTTTTATCATTTATACAGTTGAAATGAAAACTGTTCTTGCCTTGTGTGGGAGCTACAGTGAGTGTTGGGGACTGAATGACTAGATTCTCAACTCCTGGCCTGAATGTCAAAGAATCATAACCACATTGAGGCTACTTTCTTTTTAAAAAATCACCTTGGCTCCGTTCAACCCAGCCTAAAATGGGTACAAGGTAAAGTCTCAGGAAGTAAAGGTGAACAGCATACACTAATCACCCATTGAGTGTCAATGGGTCTACAGAAATATATGGTTATGCTTTATGTCTGATGAACTAACTGTTGTGTAAAGGACCCTTAACTTTACTAGTTTTTGTCTTTTCATTCTTTTATTTCTAGTGATTAGTGAATAGTGATTAGAGAGGATTATCATCACAGCACTCCAGACAGATCCATAAGTGCTTCAATCTCCTCCTCAAAAGCTCCACAAGTGTAAAACAACTGATGACCCTTGTTCTGTGTTGGTAAATGAAACGTCTTGTCCCCTTAGTGAAATGTTCATCTTATGCAGCTCCAGGCTGCACCCCCATGTCTCTGTCTAGACAGAGATACAGGGTCATGTCCTTCGGTGTGATTTTTATTTTATTTCTAGCTTTTTGTGTACCTCTATTTGTATACTTAAGATGTTGTGTTCAATTAAATTATTTAAATCATGAAAACACCGTAGTTACAGACAAATGGACAGAAATTAAATCAGTAATTCAAGCAGAGGATAAACAACTGAAAATGGCAAATACCAACAAGAAATGATACAACACAAAAAAGCCCGCACATTTTGTGTTATTGGAAAGCTGACTTGATTTCTTAAGTTAAGCATGGTGTAAAGTAGTTATTGACAGCAGAGATATGAAATAAAGCTATTATTTGAAAATAGTTGCTCAAATAAAACAGTTTGAAATATAACTGCATATATGAGTTCATCTCTCAGCTGTCATTTAAAGAGGGGAGATTTTCAACTGCAATAATTAAATTTTCTAGAACACACCCCCCCAAAAAAAAAAAAAAAATGTCAGAAACTGTTACAATTTGTCTCTAACTTTCTTTAACTTAATTTTGATAAATGTCTTTGAAAAAAAAAATTGACCAAACTTGAAAAATAAAACACTAGTTATTGGGAAACATTAGTTTGACAAAACTATGATAGTTGTTGAACATTACGTAACATTTATTAGGAAAAGAGATGATCAGCTAAGCGCTGCAAACCAATATCGATTGAAATGATGGTTGGAAAAAAAAATTTAAAACTTCACTTGAAAACATTTATAATCATGCTTAAAAACATGGGTTGAAAAATAAACTGATCTAAAACTTAATTAAAAATTTTGAAAGAAAAAAAAACATGATGAGTTTAAAAATTAAAATTTAAGGCCTTATTAAAACAGACTAACTGATAACAGGGGAAATCTGAACTGAAGCTCTATGAAAAAATTTGAAAAAAATACTTTAAAAGATGATTAATTAAGCATCATGGTTTTTAAAAAGAGTCTAGGTGGAGTGACAAATCACACAGGTTTAGTAGCAAGCGGAGAGGGTTCAAATCTCAAGACCACAGTGTGAGTAAAAATGTACCTTTGATGAGGCAAGGAACTGGGTAGATGAAGATTTGGGTAGAGTGCCCCAATCACAAGAGGCTGGTGATCCAGTGACATGGGAAGAGCTTTGGCCACTGTGGGGCCCAAATCACTGCCTGCAAGGGATGGGGGCCCTTTTGTGTCAGAAAACATCTTTTTCACCCTTCCATTTTTCCTGGGACGCGGCCTGGGAATCAGGAGGATGTGTTTATAGTTCAGTTCATTGTTTTGGAATCTCAGATGAATTTTAATTCACTTGTTCATTCACAACAGATACACACACAAACTACAGACATATGTTCTTCTTCTTTTATCCATTCCTGAAATGCCTCGCAGATTCAGGCCTGGAAGATATTTCTAGAACTGGCATTTCTGTTTGCTTCATATGCAGAACTTTTTAGTGACTCTGATATTTCTGCAGTCCATCTTCTGCGTGGTCAACCTCTGGCTCTGTTACCGCTGTATCTGTATATTACTGCTATCTGTGGTGCCCTGTCTGTTGCTAATCTTGTTACATGGCCAAACCATTTGATGTTTTGTCTACCGATAAAGTTCAGTACTGGTTCTGTGCTGACACTCCTCCTGATATTGTTGCTAAGCTTGAAATGAAATGAACCCAGGAGCTCTGACACAAAGACTTGGTGGGCGTGTTTCAGCACTTCTTTAAATTAAGTGCAGGGGTTTAAGGGACCTAAGCCTTGTTTAAGTGAATAATAATAATAAGAGTGCTGACAGGCAAATAAGTATAATAAAATATTTAAAATAATACATATATAAACAAATGCTTTAAAAAAAAACCTTTAATTTATAGTTTGCAGCTTTGTAATCTAACAAATTATTTAGTGACATTTTTTGGGGCGCGGAGCCTCAAAGTGTCTACCCCCACAGGTTCAGGCGCCCTAGAATGACCCCATAATCCCAGTTGTGGGTCACAGTCGAGTCTTCATGATGAAATCATTAGCTTCTGTGGTACCAAAGAATGCATCAGACACTGATTGCTACACTGATGTGCTTGTCCTCATGTACCAACAGACTTACCACTCAGAGTAAGCCAATGGCAGCCTAGCATCTCTACAGGCACAAGGTCAAGCTCCTGCATTACACTACAGGCACTACTCTATGCCTGTACACTGTTACACTATATCAGTGCACTATGCTACTCTATACCAGTACACTATACTACATTATACCAGTGCATGATGCTACTCTATGGTGCTGCAGAATATTTCACTTACCAGTGCACTGTGCTTTTCTATACAACAGTGCAATATATTATACTAGAGCAAAGTACTATATTACTATAAAACAGTGCTCTTTGCTATTATATACCAGTGCTCTATATTATACTTACCGGTGTACTATGCTATTCTAACCAGTGCACCATAGTACACTAAACCATTGCATTAAGCTATACAAAATCACTCTGCTACATACAGTTTGTGCACTAACAAAGGTTACATAACATCGGTGCACTAACTTTTCTGCTGCAACTAGTTATACCCATTCTCTTTGTACTGATACAAAAGTTGATGATGATGATGATTAGCAGCTAGGACATTACACATGACAGTGATAACTGTCTGAGAAAGACAGTCACATTTTCCTGTCACTCGGTGTGTAATGTGGTCTGAACTCCCTTGGTCATTTTTAAATCTGGAAAACATTTCCTTGCACCCATTTTTTAAAACCTCTAAAACTCAGCTCTGTCTCAGACAGTATGTCGAGTTTCACTAGCTCTTCTATAAATCCCACACAATGCTTAATGTGTTTGCATATTTTTTTATGTTTGGTCACAGTAAGTAAAGAAATCTGGCTACCGCAGGTTTAAACTACTATTAAAGTAATACAGTCATAATTTGTCATAGTGATTACTAAAGACCTTGGCCATAAACACAAAAAAGGAGTCGTGTGGTCAGAAAAGAAGTCTTCTGAGGTATATTTGAACTAAGGACCACCACATGAGAAAGCAAGTAGAAACCGAAATCACTAAACATAGAGACTGCAATAGAAAAATATACACACACTGTTTTTTCTCAATACGTCATTTGTAAATTGCCATCTTTAGCATATACAAGCAATATGCAGTGCATGTAAATAAAAATTAAGCCTTTCTATGCAGAAAATAACTGGCATAAATGTCAAATAGCTGGAGATTCTCAGCCAACCTGGCACAGACTAAGATCACCTACCTGTAGCGATAATCAGGATGTTTCTCCATGTGCAGCTTGCTCAGTCTGGACTGCTCTTCATAATATGGCTGCTTATCTGCATTGGACATGCCTTTCCACTTGGCACCTAAACAGGGTTAACGAGGGTCAAGGTCACCAGCAAGCAAAAAGCAAACACCATGTTTTTTTTGTCCTGTTTCCACCCTAAACCCTCTTTGTATATGTATGTGCATGGATGTGTGTGAGCACTTCTGTTGGAGCCTAATCTTTCAACCAACTTGTGTCAAACTGTCCTACCATTTCCTATCTTTTGCAGCTGATTACATGTCCCCATTACATTCATGTCAGATTTAATATGTAGTGTCTGTCAGTGTTGTTCGCAACCAGACAACACAACAGGATCTTGAAATTCAAATCAGTTACAATGGTTTGGGTAGGTATGCAGAATGGAAGGGAATCGGCCTTCAAGGCAGGCATGGGAGGGTCAAGAACCAGGGAACTAGACCACCAGGAAGACACAGGGTTTGCTGAAAAGACAACATCCGACAGCTCCTGACTGACAAGTGTACTAGAATGCAAAAGAAAGGAAAAATAAAAAAAACTGCTGATAGAGAAGTCTGGCGACCTCACTGGCAAACCTTTATACCCTGGGGTAGAAGATCATTTCACAGGCAAACCCAGGGTAAAAGAAGATCAGCTCACCGGCAAACCTTTACACCCAGGGTAGAAGATCATTTTACCGGCAAACCTTTACACCCCAATGTAGAAGAGGATCACGTCACTGGCAAACCTTTACACCCCACGGTAGAAAAAGATCATTTCACTGGCAAACCTTTACAACCAGGGTAGAAGAAGATGAACTAAATAAAAAGTAAATAAAAAAAGAGATAAATTACCTAATATTTTGCTGATGTTGGAGTTGTGCATGTCTGGACATGACTTGAGTATCTTTCTCCTCTCCTCCCTAGCCCACACCATGAAGGCATTCATTGGCCGCTTGATGTGTGGTCTGCCTGGGTCCTGATTTGTCCCTCTGAGCTCGGATGATTTTAGCACCATACATTTTACCTGTTGAGTATAAAGGTAAAGGTAAAGTCGGGTTATAAACCATAAGTGCTCTGCCACCAGTACAGACAGCTGATAAAAACTGTCCGCCGTGTGTCGCTGTCTGCACTGTAACTCCGTAGCTACAGCAACGTTCCTCCACTTACCCAGAGTGATAACTCTGGTACCCATTTCCTAGAGGCTGGGTGAACCCCGGGAAACTGCCTGGATTCCAACACCGACCATGGGCTACAGCGAGTCGCAGCTGGATTTGAAAGTGAGTCTCCTATCAACTGCGCTAATGCGGCTCCCTTACTTGTTGAGTGTAATACAGAATAACTGAACTTTCATATCCAACACCCATCCTCATGTGCTTTCTGATTGTGGGGCAAACAAGAACAGACCCACTGCCTCCCCAGCATTTTTGAAATGCTGCCTTCACTTGACCTATTCTGCTTTTAATCTCTGTCACACATTTTCCATCTGATGATATGATTGTTCCCAGATATTTGAATTATCATTGAACATGTACACAGCGACAATGAATGATACTCTCACATCTAACAGATGAGAAATATCTGAGGAAAGTGATAAATATTAAATGAGATGAATTCAGGACAAGTAAAAAGACAGGAAATCTGTTTAAGTAACTATTGATAACTGGCATCATGAGAGTTAATAGACTGAAATGGTTGGGGATATTGAAAGAATGTCAGATGACAGAGAGATACAAACTGTATACTCATGGGAGATGAATGGTCGTAGACCAGGAAGCAGACCAAGAAGATTGTGGAGAGATAATGTCCAGGCAGACATGCAAACACTTGGTGTCACCAACTGAAAAGAGAAGGCTAACCAGAGAGATGAATGGAGGCAGGTGATATCTGCAGCAATGAACCATTTATCTCTCAGAATGCTAAAGAAGGCCAACCAGAGAGATAAATGGAGGTGGGTGATGTCTGCAGCAATAAACCTCAAGGGCTCAGAATGCTGAAGAAGGCCAACCAAAGAGATGAATGGAGGCGGGTAATATATGCAGCAATGAACTTGAAGTGCTCGGAATGCTGAAGAAAAAGAAGAAGAAGAAGACAAGATAGGAGACACTTCTAGACAACTAGCTATATCAGCAGGTATAAGACAAGATAAATGGCAGTATACTGGTCACATCTTGAGAACGACAAGAAAAGAAACATGAAATCATGTTGATTATACAGGTCAAAGGTGCTGGACTTTATTCCATCCAAGATACTGAAACAACTGCACAGGATTGAGCACAATGGAAGAAAAAATGCGAGCTGTTTTTGCATATAAGGGTAGAATATCTTCTTCTTCTTCTCCTCCTTCCTTTTAGTATGTTCGGTTTCACATGCTCAGGTCAGACCATTAGGTGGGTTGCCTCCATGAACCCACATGTCAGCTGCAGGTCCTTCATGGTGGAATATCTTCTTCTTCTTTTTCTTCTTCTTCTATGGTAAGCTCAGGTCAGACAATCAGGTGGGTTGCCTCTATGAACTCGCATGTCAGCTGCAGATCCTGCATGGTAGAATACAATAGTAATGATAACAAGGAAAACCCAACTCACTTTGTAACTGCTGAACATAATTTCCCTGGTTCTCCTCGGAGGCAGCAGCCGGAGTGGATGAGGGGCAGTCTTTGCCGCCGGACATCTGGGAGAGGGGGGTGATAGATGTGGGTGGGGCCGTGTTGTACATAGGGAAATGATGGCTAAGCCCAGGGAAAACTGGGCCGCTGACACATGCTGCCATCTGACGGGCAAGCAGCTTCTGAATGTAGTTCTCCTGGGACTGAAGGAACATCACCTGTTTAGGGAAACAAACAGAAGAAGAGATTTCTGAAAACAAAGACCAAAAAAATCATCTCACAGTTTGACAGGTACTTTCAAGCTGCAGCTGTGATGTCTATGTAGTCTTTGTTAATGAAAGCTGCAGCTGTGATGTCTATGTAGTCTTTGTTAATGAAAGCTGCAGCTGTGATGTCTATGTAGTCTTTGTTAATGAAAGCTGCAGCTGTGATGTCTATGTAGTCTTTGTTAATGAAAGTTGCAGCTGTGATGTCTATGTAGTCTTTGTTAATGAAAGTTGCAGCTGTGATGTCTATGTAGTCTTTGTTAATGAAAGCTGCAGCTGTGATGTCTATGTAGTCTTTGTTAATGAAAGTTGCAGCTGTGATGTCTATGTAGTCTTTGTTAATGAAAGCTGCAGCTGTGATGTCTATGTAGTCTTTGTTAATGAAAGTTGCAGCTGTGATGTCTATGTAGTCTTTGTTAATGAAAGCTGCAGCTTGTGATGTCTATGTAGTCTTTGTTAATGAAAGTTGCAGCTGTGATGTCTATGTAGTCTTTGTTAATGAAAGTTGCAGCTGTGATGTCTATGTAGTCTTTGTTAATGAAAGTTGCAGCTGTGATGTCTATGTAGTCTTTGTTAATGAAAGTTGCAGCTGTGATGTCTATGTAGTCTTTGTTAATGAAAGTTGCAGCTGTGATGGTCTCTATGTAGTCTTTGTTAATGAAAGTTGCAGCTGTGATGTCTATGTAGTCTTTGTTAATGAAAGTTGCAGCTGTGATGTCTATGTAGTCTTTGTTAATGAAAGCTGCAGCTGTGATGTCTATGTAGTCTTTGTTAATAAAAGTTGCAGCTGTGATGTCTATGTAGTCTTTGTTAATGAAAGCTGCAGCTGTGATGTCTATGTAGTCTTTGTTAATGAAAGCTGCAGCTGTGATGTCTATGTAGTCTTTGTTAATGAAAGCTGCAGCTGTGATGTCTATGTAGTCTTTGTTAATGAAAGTTGCAGCTGTGATATCTATGTAGTCTTTGTTAATGAAAGTTGCAGCTGTGATGTCTATGTAGTCTTTGTTAATGAAAGTTGCAGCTGTGATATCTATGTAGTATTTGTTAACAAAAGTTGTAGTTGTGATGTTAATTTTGTATTTGTTAATGAAAGTTATAGCTGTAATGTCTATATAGTCTTTGTCAATGAAAGCTGCAATGTAATACTTATTTAGTCTTTGTCAAAGAAAGCTGCAATGTGATATCTATTTAATCTTTGTCAATAACAGCTGCAATGTAATACTTATTTAGTCTTTGTCAAAGAAAGCTGCAATGTGATATCTATTTAATCTTTGTCAATAACAGCTGCAATGTAATACTTATTTAGTCTTTGTCAAAGAAAGCTGCAATGTGATATCTATTTAATCTTTGTCAGTGAAAGCTGCAATGTAATACTTATTTAGTCTTTGTCAAAGAAAGCTGCAATGTAATACTTATTTAGTCTTTGTCAATGAAAGCTGCAATGTGATATCTATTTAATCTTTGTCAATGAAAGCTGCAATGTGATATCTATTTAATCTTTGTCAATGACAGCTGCAATGTAATACTTATTTAGTCTTTGTCAATGAAAGCTACAATGTGATATCTATTTAATCTTTGTCAATGACAGCTGCAATGTAATACTTATTTAGTCTTTGTCAATGAAAGCTACAATGTGATATCTATTTAATCTTTGTCAATGAAAGCTGCAGTGTTCTGTCTATGTGGTCTTTGTCGATTAAATCTGCATATGTGATGAGTATGTAGTCTTTAATAAAAGCTGCAGCTGTGATGTCTATGTGATATAAACCAATAAATCTATAGTGAGGAGTTTAGTATTAAAAGAGTTAATGTCTCAACCCTCAAATGAATAGTGACATATCAGACCTAAAAGTGACACAGACTCCACAAGGATCTTCCTTACCTTCTCAGTCTCTGATACGGCTGAGGCACCAGAGATGGCTGGATGTGCGGACGTCAATGCAGCGAGTCCCCCAAGATTGAAAGCTGATGGGAGAGACATAAATGGGTTGGCCATGTACTGAGCCTGCAGGGCGAATGGGTTCTGCCTCATGGCTATCAGCATGGAGACATCGGCCACGTGGCTAGACCCTGAGCCTTGCAGCGGAGAGGGTGACAGGTTGTGGAGAGGAGAGTGCTGGTGTGGTGGCGAGGGACTGGGTCTTGCTCTGTGGGCTGATGTGGAAGTGGCGGCTTCTGGGCTGACACTGCTGAGGACTGACCTTCTGGCGTAGTTGGCATGAGCCGGAGGTGGGGTGCCAGGCACACATTTGCTGCTTCTGTGATTGTCTTCCCAGCTGGCCCGGTCTAGAGAGCTCTTCCATGACTGAACATCAGGTTTACACTGCTGAAAACCACCAAAGGAAAATTCATATAGTCATTATATCATATGCATTAACCATTGTGAGTTCTAGGGCACTCTTGTTTTCTGTGTGGGGTTGGGGAGAAGAATAGAATCAATCACTGCCCTTTAACAAACATACTTTAAAGAATGACTTATAAGGGATTTGTCTCATATTGACTGCGCTAATGCGGCCCCCACTAAATAATATACAGCTGAGAAAAGAAACAAAGCAATACAAACCTCAGGTCGGGGTTTAGACAAATTCAGGGGCCCATCCTCATCTGGTGGAGTGGATAGAGCGTAATGGGTGTTCAAATCCTTGGGATACATGCCACTGTCGGATGCCAGCCCACAAGCACTTCCACTCAGCATGCTGCATCTAGTTGGTGGGCTGGAGCCGCAGACAATGTTGGGGATAGTCTGTCTCATGTCTGTCTGCGTTCTATTACTGAAAGACAGATTATTCAAATACATGAGGTGTCAAACAAGCAAGTAAGCAATTGTATCTCTTATCAAAGCAATCAATCAAACAAGCAATTAAAAACAAACAAGCAATTAAAAACGCATGCAGATTGATCATTCATCAATCATAAATTTATTTAACCCCCCCACCCCCACCCCCCAACCCCAACTATATTTTCTTTGCCTATTTTCTTTTTCTCTCATTCTCTCCTCTATTTTTTTCACCTCTCGTTCTGTTTCTCTATTTATCTCTCCATCTCTTTCTTTTTCTTCTTCTGCTTTTTTCTCTGATCTCCCACCCATTTTCATCTCTCTCTTTTTTCCTTTCCCACTATCACCTATAATATCTCCTCTCTCACGCCTCTGTTATATTTCTCTCCTCTTTTCTTTTGTCTCCTCTTTCCCTTCTCTTGTCTCTCCCTCAACCATCTCTTTTTTGTCTCCTTCTCTTTCTCTCAGATAAACTCCTGGTATACACAGATTTAGCATCACATCACCCACCCACCCCACCCCCACCCACACACACACACCCACAACCCCTCAACAAGCATGTGATAAAAGGCGACTAACTAGGCCACTGATGAATTGGGATGTGGTGGGTCAAAGAAGTACAGATATCACAGCCTAGCTGCAAGCCACAACACAATGTGCCAACCACCCTTTTGAGGGCAAACACCGAAGCAGCAACAGCATAAGAAGAAGAAGAAGAAGAAGAAGAAGAAGAAGAAGAAAGAAGAAGAAGAAGAAGAAGAAGAAGAAGAAGAAGACAACATATATGACACACAAATACATACATGCACAGATAATTAAAAAAAAGAGGTGGGAGAGACAGAGAAAGAATGAATCCACACATTACATACATAAATGTCCCAGGCCTCAAATGTGAGGTGTCACTGTTCTCAGACTGCCTCTGGCTGGGGTGATTCCTGCTGCTCCTACCGCTTCCTTGCGCCAGCTGGTCCGTGTAACAGGTGCTGTCAGGACTGTGGTTTTGACTGAATTTTGTATCTACCAGACTTTGATCTGGAGAAGAAACAAAACAAATAACATTACAAGGTTGAACAGGTCATCTTAGCTAGAAAGTTATGTGATCACAATCGACGTCACTGCACATTTGGGCATTCCCATGCGTGCTCAGTCCCACGATGCAGCAGCCACTCCAGGGTACCTCTACTGACCGTTCCCTAAAAGGCTGGTTATATTAGGGCCCCCTGGCAACATTAAAAAACTGCATCCCACAAGGTGACGACGGACTGAATTCACAACCTTAATAAGTAGTAAGACCATCTACATAATAGAGAATTACTCCATTACCCAGGCAGGAACACACAAGCGATAAAAAACATCAAAGTGCCACCATTTGATGAGATCACCGGCATATTAGAAAACAACAGACATTTGGCCAAAAACCTGCCTATATTGGCCTGGCCAAAAAGTGGGGCTTCAAAATAACGAAAATAACGTCCTGAAAGACTAAAGTAGTTTGGGATCAAAATGACCATCTACATAATAGAGAATTACTCCATTAGCAAGCAAACAGAAAAAAAAATCTAGTATTTGAGAGGGCATATTAGACAACAGAAAAATGCCATGGCCGAACCACACTGAAAGACTTGCTGGGATCAACGATGATGAGATAGATGATGCGATCAAACAAATTGTCTATTCTGTTTTGGATTAGTGAAAACGGCCAAGGGGGGAGTATCCAACCAAAAAAAAAAATTAATTTAAAAAACAGGTTATGTCCCTTGTTTAACGGGCGATATCTGCCTGGTGACGCATTTTCATTTCAATTTTCTCCACAGTTTAAACTGCACCTAGTATCAAGCAGGTGTCACCTAGCCCTCTCTATACAAGCAGGTGTCACCTAACCCTCTCTATACAAGCAGTTGTCACCTAACCCCCTCTATACAAGCAGTTGTCACCTAACCCCCTCTATACAAGCAATTGTCACCTAACCCCCTCTATACAAGCAGTTGTCACCTAACCCCCTCTATACAAGTTGCAAGCAATTGTCACCTGTCACCTAACCCCCTCTATACAAGCAGTTGTCACCTAACCCCCTCTATACAAGCAATTGTCACCTAACCCCCTCTATACAAGCAATTGTCACCTAACCCCCTCTATACAAGCAGGTGTCACCTAACCCTCTCTATACAAGCAGTTGTCACCTAACCCCCTCTATACAAGCAGTTGTCACCTAACCCCCTCTATACAAGCAGTTGTCACCTAACCCCCTCTATACAAGCAGTTCTCACCTTACCCCCTCTTAACAAGCAGTTGTCACCTTACCCCCTCTTAACAAGCAGTTCTCACCTTACCACCTCTTAACAAGCAGTTCTCACCTTACCCCCTCTTAACAAGCAGTTGTCACCTAACCCCTTCTATACAAGCAGTTGTCACCTAACCTCTTCGATACAAGCAGTTGTCACCTAACCCTCTCTATACAAGCAGTTGTCACCTAACCCCCTCTATACAAGCAGTTGTCACCTTACCCCCTCTATACAAGCAGTTCTCACCTTACCCACTCCGGATCAAACAGTTCTCACCTAACTAAATATGTTTACAACAAAACCCCTGCCTGTCAACCCAGTCTGAGCCCCGAACTTGTCACCGAACTCAAAATCTACCAAACAAATGACATGACCCCATACCCACGGCACTGTCATGGGGTTGGTGTAGCCTTTACGGGTAGCCCAATTATAAGGTCATGAGAGAGCTTCTTCTTTTTCTTCGCGTTCACCGGCTGTAAACTCTAGCGGAAAACTCTTGTTGTTCGTCCACCTCCGGATTTGAGTAAGTAAAAAAGTAAAGATCCCTTATTACGCCTAAGGCGCATCGGGTATATGGGCAGAACGTCCCATATTTTTAGTTAGACCAATCGGCACTCGGTGGGTAATGTGGTCAGCATTACGCCGCGGACTTGAGTACTGTTCCAGAAACTGAGTGCTGCGTGCGCATTCGTTTCACAGGTCTGATTTATCTGCATGCCGATTACTGGTTTTGCCGCTCAGGCAAATGCAGTCCGACTTTGAAGGGAGCTCCTAATTAGTTAACTCTTATGACATGCTTGTCAGGCAGGCAGTGGGTCTTTATTGTTCTCACCACAATGGGATCCAGTCTAAAAAGGGTATAAGTAAAATCATGGGAAGTAAACGCCACCGGTGTGTTGTTGACTGCATCATTCTACCAGTGCCAGTTAGTCTATAATAATATCAGTGTAACTTAAGGCCTCACTGGCACAGACAGGGACTCTTCCTTCGTCACTAACTTATAAAAAATATGTTTTGTCACTAATTTGTAAAAAATATGTTTTGTCACTAATTTGTAAAAAATATGTTTTGTCACTAATTTGTAAAAAATATGTTTTGTCACTAATTTGTAAAAAATATGTTTTGTCACCAACTTATCAAAAATATGTTTTGTCACTAATTTGTAAAAAATATGTTTTGTTACTAACTTATCAAAAATATGTTTTGTCACTAATTTGTAAAAAAATATGTTTGTCACTAATTTGTAAAAAAAATGTTTTGTCACTAATTTGTAAAAAATGTCACTAATTTGTAAAAAATATGTTTTGTCACTAATTTGTAAAAAATATGTTTTGTCACTAATTTGTAAAAAATATGTTTTGTCATTAATTTGTAAAAAATATATTTTGCCACTAATTTGTAAAAAATATATTTTGACACTAACTTATCAAAAATATGTTTTGTCACTAATTTGCTAAAAAATATGTTTTGTCACTAATTTGTAAAAAATAATTTTTTATCACTGATTTATCAAAAATGTTTTGTCACTAATTTGTAAAAAATATGTTTTGTCACTAACTTATCAAAAATATGTTTTGTCACTAATTTTTAAAAAAATATGTTTTGTCACTAATTTGTAAACAAATATGTTTTGCCACTAATTTGTAAAAAATATGTTTTGTCACTAACTTATCAAAAATATATTTTGTGACTAAAGTATAAAAAATATCTTGTGTCCAAACTTTTCAAAAATATTTTGTCACTAATAACAAAAATATCTTGTCATTAAATGAAAAAAAAAAAATTTTTTTTTTGTTTTTTAAAACAGACACAGTTATCTTGTTTCATTAATTTAGCAAAAGCATACTGTGTCATTTACTTAATAAAACCCTCTGTCACTAACTTAACATAAACATACTGTGTCAATATTACAACAAAAAGTATGTTGTGTCATTAACTAAGCAAAACCATCTTGTAATTAACTCAACAAAAGTATGTTGTGTCATTAACTAAGCAAAACCATCTTGTAATTAACTCAACAAAAGTATGTTGTGTCATTAACTTCACAAGAGTATATTTTGTCACTAACTTCACAAGAGTATATTTTGTCACTAACTTCACAAGAGTATATTTTGTCACTAACTTCACAAGAGTATATTTTGTCACTAACTTCACAAGAGTATATTTTGTCACTAACTTCACAAGAGTATATTTTGTCACTAACTTCACAAGAGTATATTTTGCCACTAACTTCACAAGAGTATATTTTGTCACTACTTCACAAGAGTATATTTTGTCACTAACTTCACAAGAGTATATTTTGTCACTAACTTCACAAGAGTATATTTTGTCACTAACTTCACAAGAGTATATTTTGCCACTAACTTCACAAGAGTATATTTTGTCACTAACTTCACAAGAGTATATTTTGTCACTAACTTCACAAGAGTATATTTTGTCACTAACTTCACAAGAGTATATTTTGTCACTAACTTCACAAGAATATATTTTGTCACTAACTTCACAAGAGTATATTTTGTCACTAACTTCACAAGAGTATATTTTGTCACTAACTTCACAAGAGTATATTTTGTCACTAACTTCACAAGAATATATTTTGTCACCAACTTAAACAAAAATTGCGTCATTTACTTATCAATCATAGTTGTTTACTATGTTCTGACAGTTAACATCTATACTGCTTAATTATCGCTTACAAAGCTGCATCTACTTT